GGGGTCTTCTCTCTCTTCACTTGTAAGTTTCTCTCTCTCTCTTTAACGAATTTCACGTTTTCTCTCATAATATTAGTATAATCTTCATAATAATGACGTCGTTATTTTCATAAGAATGATATTCTCATTATTCTTATAATAGTAATAGCCTTATTAAAATAAGTGTTTTCTCTCACTCATAATATACTCATAAGAATATTATTATTTTAATGATATTTTTCTCTCATAACAATCATGTTTCTCTCTCACTCATAATACTCTCATTATTCTCATAATAATGTTATGATTTTAATAATATTTTTATTATTCTCATAGTATTGGTTTTAATAATATTTTTATCATTCCCATTATTAAAATATGATTTTAATAATATTTTGTTAATTGATAGCATACCATATTGCAAGATATTTCTTTACTTATTCATTTTTGTTGCATATCATATTACATGATATTTTCATTATTACATTATATTTATTCCATACCATATTGCAAGATATTTTCATTGTATTTTCATACTATATTGCATGATATTTACCCTACTTGTTCCTTATTGGTTCATTTCTATTGCATACCATATTGCATGATATTTTCATTATTCTCATAATATTGGTGTTCAAGTTTTATTTTTATTAAATAGTATAGTTAACATGTTAAGACACAAGAATTCTTTATTCTGAGGTTGCAAGGGATGTAGGTGCAATATAAGTAGAAATGTTTTGAAGTGGATCATCAAAGACCACAATTTATTGCATCATCCTATGTGAAATATTTTATAATATGATTTTACATACTTTTTATTATCAGTTTTCATTTACATATGATTTATGTGAATATTATTTTGCACTTATCTTATTTACATTGCTTAATGTTATTACAATATTTATTATGATTTTTATAGTATGTTCTCATATGATACTGTTCTTAAAATAATTAAGAGACTTATAATAGTTTTTCTTGCTCACTTATAGGAACATATTTTTATGCTCCTTTCCCCATAGAAACTCATTTGGTCTCTCCCTTCTACCTTTAGCTGAATACCCTTGATTCCAGTTCTACTCCGGCAACAATAGTAACATATCTATCTCAGATTGACATAGGTAAGTGGCTTCATTTTTCCCATAAAATCATTGTTTGAAGAAAACTGATAATTCTATAATGTTCCCAGAGATACTTCCTCATTTAATTGCAATATTTCCAAAACTGTAAGTTCTATGTATTTCTGTATTTAATTGTAATATTTGCAGTACAAATCCTAAATACTGTAAATATTATATGCAAATGTCAAGTGCAAGTGTTATGTGCACGTGTTATGTGTACACGTATTATGTGCAAGTGTTATGTGTAAGTATCACGTGCAAATGTTCGGTGCAATTGTTATGTGCAAGTAATTACTATGAATTGCTTCATGAGAATTCATATGAATAACTTTTAGAATATTTTGAAAATACGACATTATTGTTCCCTGATATCTGTAACATTAATATATGGCCTGCAATTGATTTAATAAAGTCTTTTGAATTTATATGCATGATAATATGACATAGTGATGTCCCTTGTGACTATATGTATAGCATAGAAATGTTGATGTTTCTTGCGATTACATATGAGACATGCTTCTGATAAGATATGTGTGCATGGCAACATGCTTCTGATAAGATATTTGCACATAGCAACATGCTTCTGATAAGATATGTGTGCATGGCAACATGCTTCTGATAAGATATTTGCACATAGCAACATGCTTCTGATAAGATATGTGTGTATGGCAACATGCTTCTGATAAGATATGTGTGCATGGAAACATGCCTCTGATGAGATATTTGTGCCGACAGCTGTGATTTTTTCCTAACTCTATACGATAGGATGAGAGTTAGGAGTATGTGTTTGGGTGGTCACTACCCCAAAATTTGTGTGAGGCACTATTTGGAACCACTTTGGTAGTGTAACGCTCTCTCGCCAAAAAGGCCCATAAGAGGGTCATGTCTTACAAAGCCAGTGCCTATCAAAAGCCCCAAAGCGCGCTGAGGTTGTGAGCATGTGTGAGGCACTACGCAATGGATTTACCCGTTGGTGGTGCTTCTTCTTGTGGGATAGTAGAAGTTCTAACCTTGGACTCGAGACCTGGGACCCGAGGTTAGCACTTCTATTGCAGGACTTCTATTGTTGTAAATGCTTGTTTGATCATATCTGATAATTAATTGCAGTAATGTTTTAAACTACCAAATTTAGATTATTGTTGATCTTGATATGATCATGTGCATATGGTCAATATATCATGCTTATTTTCTTTGTCTAATAAGGAATACATGATATGTATAAGATTAGAAATGAATATGATATAATAGCATGTATTAGAATGCATGAAATTAATACGTCGAAATCCTGCTTAATATGCATTCTTTTAGAAAATATTTACCTCTAGCCATGATTTGTAAGGATAATGATGGTCACTTACTGAGTAGCCAAACTCATCAAGCTATTGTGAAATTTTTCAAAGTAATCGCAGCCGTATTGTTCGTATGTACAGCAAGAGTAGTTTGGAAGAAGTTTGTAGTCATGGATAAATTCGCCTTTGTAACTTTTGTACTATCAAAGTTGTATATATATATACATCCTCATGTTATTACAGGCTGTGAAATAAACTTTGTACAAGTCTGAAAGCTTGTGGATGGAAAATTTGTTTTGGAGCATTATATAGTAAAAATTTAGAATTTTTTTTGTTTCTTAAAAATAAACTGTCACATCTCACGAATTTTAGTATTATAAAACTTGGGATGTTACAATTATGGTATCAAAGCGCCAGGATAGGATTCTTGGCCTAGAATCTTAAAAGGACCCTTAGGTTGAATAGGGATTAGACTAGTAACTAGTGTTTGGATGTTCCTATTTAGGGTCAAGATGTTAAGGACTCGTGGTAACAATTCTAACAAGAATAATGGGAACTTTTTGGTAACAGATACGGTGGTCAAGCAGTGTGGGGTATTGCTTGAGGGGTGTGTCCAGCCTATAGACTTGATACTCTTAGATATCCAGGACTTTGATGTTATTTTGGGCATGGACTGGTTGTTCACACACCATGCCACTGTTGACTGTTATGATAAGAGTGTGACCTTTAAACCCCCTACCCAGTCTGAGCTACACTTTCTCGATATTAGGAATGCTTCCACTATACAATTTATTCTTGCTCTTCGGATTCATCGTCTTTTGACCAAAACATTTGTCGGGTATTTAACCTATGTAGTAAAAAATCGGGATGTGCAGTCCAAGTTTGAAGAAGTTTGTAGTCGGGGACAAATTCGCCTTTGTAAGTTTTGTACAATCAAAATTGTATATATATATATATATATAAGTCCTCATGTTATTATAAGCAGTGAAATAAAATTTGTACAAGTCTGAAAGCTTATGGATAGAAAATTTGTTTTGGAGCATTATATAGTAAAAATTTAGAATTTGTTTTGCTCCTTAAGAATAAACTGTCACATCTTAAGAATTTTAGTAAAACTTGGGATGTGACACCTAACTTAGTGCATCACCATCCATGGCTTTCATTGGATGGGGATGATTTAATCACCCTTATAGCCACATATGTCCGATTACTCCCTCCAAACTTCCCTTATTCTCAAATGTGCCCTTGAAAACCCTAATTTCGATTTTAGTCATTAATAACCATCCAATTAGTAGAACAAGATTTTTTGAAAAACCTAATGAGTGCGATGTACCACCCCCTCTTTTCTCTCCCATTTGAAACTTGAACCCCACTCCACTCTCTTGATGTGTCACTGTCACAAGGAGACACATTCTTATTCCCTTGCCATAAAATGTCCCCTCTTGAGCATTCACACTAATTAGACAAGACCACACCCTTAAAATGCTTGACTATCAAATCACAATGTTTCATAAACTCAATGCATAAAACATTTTAAAAATATAATTTCTCATGCTCACGTGTTCCCACACACATGTCCTCACACATGCGGCTCACACGTGTGGCACTACAACACACATATCATGGATGTGTCAGCAAATAAGTCTTAAACACGCCTACCTATATGATCCATGTCATGCCTACTATGCAATGATGTGGCACTCCAAGTGAGGTCAACGTGTGGCACACATTGGCCACTTGTGTGTGGGATTCACATGTACGCCTGTCCTTGTTTGGAATTATATCCTAACAAATATAACAAATCATTGTTACTCAAAATAAAATTAATAAAAATTATCAAAAATTACCATAAACTATTAAAGAAAAACCCAATAGATGGTCAGGTCTCTGGGTGCTAAGTGGATTGTAGGTGCACCCCCGAGGACATGCACTCTTGTGGATGCAGGGGTTCCTCTCGCTGCACATGTGCATAGTTTTGATTCAATGGATCTTACTTCATCAGAATGGCTTCCCATTGCGACTATTCTATGCACATATGCAATGAGTAAACTGCAATCGTTAGAGATTTAGTCTTATGTCCTCTCAAAGCCTTTCTTCTCACACTTTCTCTAACAATTCGGAATTCTCTGATCCTATCTTGCATTCCCAAGCCAATACTCTTATGATACATTCTCTTACCGACCCTAACAAGAGGAGACCTCGAACCTCAAGGTTCTAAATAAGGCCCTCAGGTCTTGCCATATGACTTGTGGTATTTAGGATTTCCAGATCCCGATATGCTCAAATCAGGCAAGCACAGCATTCCAGTACACTCCCACTGTGACTGATAACTATTGTGGAAAAACAGAGTCAAGGCCTTGAAAGGTCATAACTCCAATAGATGATATATGATGTATAGATGTCATAGCAAAGTGTTTATTCAACATTTACATCACACTCATAGCTCAGCTCATTATTGCAAAGCAAATATCATGACTTCATTACCTATTTAGCAAATCTGAAGTACCAAGTTGTTAACATTTGGTTGTAATAGGATTCTCCTTTTTGACAAGAAGTTGCATAGGATACATTTACAAGAGATAATGACATGAAAATAAATCAAATTTAATCATACCTTAAGAAGTGTGTTGACAATGTGAAATTTTTTCTCCCAATCAGTTCCATGTAAGCAACCAGATACCAGGCCCAATGAGATTGCAGCTGGCCATTGCTTGTATTCATGTTCGTGTTGATGCAACCAATCCAACAAAAACATTGATGCAATAGAGATTATAGAATGGGCTGGATGAGGCAAGACCTAGAACACACCAAAAGTATTTTATAATGCATGATTATGAATAAGTATTAAAGCAAATAAGAAAAATCATCAAAATTGATGAGCCAAGGACAAGCAAGTAAAGAAATATACTCATCAGGTATACTCTAACATACGACGAAATATAAGAGTGACATCAAAGAGAACTAAGTTTGCATTTCTAATGTAATGTCACTATTGACTGACAATAGCAAGAAAACATGCAAGGGAGGAAGATATGTGTGTGCGTGTGTGTGTGTGTGTGCGTTTGGGCTTTTTTTCTTTCATGGGGAAAGAAAGAAGGGGAGGGGGAGGATAGAATATGATTTCATATCAGTAATCCCTCTTAACATTAAAAGGTTCATGGAGTTGAATACCCATTTAACAGCCCCATTACATAAGCACCGACATTCTTGGCCCTTTGAAACCTCCCAGACAAGACAAGATAAAACCCATCTTATATAATGCAGCCCCCTCGCCCCCCCAAAACAAAACAAAAAAGGCAAAAAGGAAAAACCTAATAAAATTAAGGGTTTGTATATTATAAGACTATTTACTTTTGGTATTAAGGGTTTCACAATTATTCTTAGATGCCGGATGCGATAACTTTGTGTCCAGTCAATAACACACCCCAACAACCTGATTTCACATCTAACAATCATTATTGATTGAGATTTACTTGAACCAAAAGTAAATGGTCTTATTGTATATATACATTCCCTAGAATTAAAACCTTGGCTTTAGAAATATTTGCAAATAAAATATCTATGGCTCTCAATCAAGAATGTAAAAATATACTTCCCGATTAAAAAAATATCTAACAGTGCTAGAGAAGTCCTGGTTGAATATCATTGCTGGCGAAATCATCCGAATCACCTAACCTTTTCTAAAGCGAGGGCCTTCCAATGGGCCCAGAACAATAGGACATTTAGAAAGCTACTCAATAAAGTAAGTGGAGGAAACTTGGCAAAATAGTCAGATAAAAAGAAAATTCAAAAAACAAGCAATAATCGTAGGAACACAACTGGTGCATTGTCATTTCCAAAAGAAAAATGAGCAGACCAGAAGGTTGAAAATTGTGAACTCAAGAATAAAAAAGTAAAAGCCATTACAATATTCAAAAGCAAGCACATAGAAATCCAAGCCAATGTTCAAGAAGTCGATTTTGGCTGCCTATATGGTGGCTAGATTCCTCGGCGGCCCAAAGCGCGAAGAAGGCACTTGCCAAAAAGTGAGGCTATAGATTGGCTTTATGAATATCTTTTTTTATTTGTATAAAAGAATAATGTTAATGTAAGCACCACGTGCAGTGGTTATTTATATAAATGTGCCACATTTATGCTTCTTTAAAGCACTGTCCCAAAGGTGATCAGTGGGCACCCAGATACTTGGGGGCCCTAATGCAGTAGTGCTGTTTGTTATATCGTGGGGAGGGAGGGAGGGAGAGGAGGGGGGGAGGGAGAGAGAGAGAGAGAGAGAGCATATGGGTCTGTATGTATGTGTGCGAGTGATAGAAAGAGGCCTCATATCAAACACTAGAAGTTCATCTTATTCTTTTAGTTTTTATATGAAATGGGATTGTGAGAGTGAGAGAGGGGTCACGCATCCAAACTTGGAGGTCCTTGTCTTCTTTTTCTTTTCTTTTTTTATGTAGAGACAGTTAGGGAGAGCAAATGGGTTTGTGTATGTGGACCTGTGTGTTTTTGTGAGCGTATATGAGTGTGTGTGTGTGTGTGTCTGTGTGTGTGTGTGTGTGTGTGTGTGTGTGTGTGAGAGAGAGAGAGAGAGAGAAGCACCTCATATTAAATTATGGGAGCCCCACTGAGGCCCTTTAGGCGGGGTGTGACTCAGAGGAGACAATGGAAAAAGAGTAGCATGTCAAGAAGGGGAAGACTCTGACAATGATAGCTTGGCATCCAATTCAGCTCATAGTGATGAAGATGGTGGTGGTGATGATCATGTGGAGGCTATGGACCATGACCATGAATCTCAGTTTGCAATGATTATAGAATGTCGTGAGAGATTCTAGTAGCTATTAACAATTCAGAAAGATGAGCCATAAGGTGGTCAACCCATAGCTGGAAATCATAGCACGTTGTCAAAACCTTTGGTATATTTGAAGCAAATACTACGTTGCCACCCATGAAGCACAACAAAAAAGAACAAAAGAGAGAGAGAGAGAGAGAGAGAGAGAGAGAGAGAGAGAGATAACTACCAAATTTCACCTTTTCTTCACAAGCAACCCATCTTAATTTGTTGAACAAATAGAAAATATATAGACCATGTGAAAGATTGCGACACGCATGACGGACGAGAAACAGGACTCGAGCACATCAGTATATAAAGGTATGTACAATCCATAGAAGCACCAATGATGACCTACAACATAACTTCCTATCAAATAATAAATTGTCAATGCAATGCGATATCATTACCATGCATAATGAACCAATGGCTAGAGCTATGTTTTCAGCTGCTCGAGGAATGGATCCCTCCGCTATCCTACAAAGAACCTATATGTGAGTGAAAAAAGTGGTTAGATTATTACACAACAAAATTGGGAAACAAATGTAACAAAAAGAACTTAAACACTATTGGCCTAATGAAACAATCAAAAACTGATTTCACCAGTATTAATTAATCATTTAAAAGAGAAAACATACAAGCATGTATCTATTGATATCTGACATCTCCATAGTACATCAGCAATACATTAAATGATAATAGGTTCTCGCTGATAGGAAGCCCATTCTTCATCACTCTTTAAAATGTCGAATATTGTCATACTTACCCTCACCGAAACCAAGTCAATTTGCAACCTGGAAAAGTTGATGAAAAGAGTTTATTATTTTTCTTGGCCTTTTGTCGGCAGCTAACTGTTCCTATAAGATAAGCAGTCCAAATGAAGGCCCAAAATTAGGGGAATTTGCACACAACCTGCCCCTAACAGTGACATCTCTCACTAATGCCAGAGACTGTGGAGCATAGCCTTGTTGTATCATTCCAAGTAAATGAACCATTATTCTGGACTAGCCTAGTGGAGTATTCCAAAGCCTAGATATTAGCCATGAGATCTCATTTACCCATTTTTCAATTTTATTTCTATCTAAACTAAGTGTTTTTTATGGAAAATGTTTTAAAGAATTTTTTAGAATTTTTGGGGATTTGTTGGATTTTCTAGAGTGAGAAAATGAGGTTTTTGAATTTGTTCAAGATAACTTCTAATCAAGGACAACTAGTAGGGGCCCCACAAACACCCTCATGTTGTTGATGTCAGCATGACATGAAAGCCCCTTGTGGTCCTCTTTAGGAATTTGGTGATTTGTTCATAAGAGCATTTTATAAGGTTTTAAATAAAAATTTGTGTTTTAAATTTTAGTGACTAATTTTATCTCATGCTTAATTAGCAGACATGTCAGCTTGATCACAATTGCATAAGGTTGAGGGCAAGCCTTGAAATATTGGCTTAAACCCTAAGTCTTAAATGGAAACCTTGTTATAACTTACCTCTTTGAATGACATCATCCTATTGGCTAAGCCCATGTAAAATCTACACAATGGCACAACGTGGTTAGATGATCCATTTGAATTATCCTATTTGAGTAATTAACAAAATATCAATTTGCAAATTGCCTAAGGGGCACACCCCTCCCCCTTCGGTTTTTTATTATTTTTAATAGTTTGGATGGGCATTTTTTGAATGAGAAAATGGCTTAAAGGAAATTTATTTTTAAGTCTTATGGACAATGTGGTAAATTCGCATAATCTGGGGTTTTAAGGAGTGATAATAGTGTAATATCACATCCCTTCATCTTGAAGGCTATATAAGGATGTTCACTTGGATCATGTCCCTCTCATGTACCATGGATGATGAGCATCAAGGGCTAAGATCATATCACCTATAATGTCACACCACCACTTGCCTATGAATACCTCCACTTAGCTTCATTTCCTACACAACCTAATCAGTGTTTTAAAATGCGGGATGGGGCCAAAAGTGTTGGGGGGACCGATGCAGAGATGCGGTCCGGATGCGGGTACATCGTGGCGATGCAGCCAATAAATATAAAAAATTCTAAAAAATCTAAAAAAATAGGTTAATGAATAGAAAAAAATATGGAGGTAATATGTGATAGCATGTATTTAGATTATTCATTAACTCTAAAAGTATTAGCTGGCAGAGATTTTGTATCTACTATCCCCTAATAGAAACTAGAAACTTGAAACTAGCTTCATAAAACATTCAACAATCAACAACCATAAGCACAAATCTGCAACCAAAACTTTAAAGTTACAAATTTTATAAACTCTTTAATCTTGGAAAGAGTCCATGAAGTTCTTCGAATCGATTTGTATACTTTTTATAAACTTTATAAATTTATAAAAATGTTGTAACTTTACAATATCAGAGCATTTATGAAGATCAATAAATTTTATAAACTAATTAATTTGTAACTTTATTGTATTTAGTCCATGAAACTCTTTAAAGTTCAAATTTTTATTTGAAAAGTACTGGGAAAAGTTCTTTGATTTGTAACTTTTAATCTTCATGGACTTCTAGTTTGTAGTATCTTGTACTACAAATAGAAAACTTCAACAAATAAAATTTGCGCCCAAAATTTTATTTTGATTCAATCGATCCAATAAAAGTCGCGGATGTGGCTGAAAAATGTTGTTTGGGTGGGGTTTAATACCCCCCTCCAACCTTTCCTCCCATTTCAAAGGTCAAAATGACATTATTGCCTTGCTTGAGGGGTACAGTTTTGAAAAAAATGGCGGACAGATTATGCAGCCTGATGCGGTCAATGCAGGATGCGTAGGGATGCGGCTCTGATATGGGTGCATCTTTCCAAACCGCATATGCAGGAAAGTGCAATGCGCTGGGTGGCGCATAGCGCCTGATGCGGCCACATTTTAAAACACTGAACCTGATTCACTTACAGAGAGAGAGTAAAGAGAGCTCGCACACCCCACTCCTTAGGCTCTTTCTTCTTCATCATTTTCTTCATCATGAAGAAGGGCGATAGTCATCACCATGTGTAGTCCCATTCAAAACATAACATCTAGTGAGGTAAACTCCGTAGCTTCTCTTCCATTTTGAAAGAGCTTCATCTTCATATCTTATGCTTGCAGTAAATTAGGAATTACAGTAGCCTTAGTTAGCAAGTTGTCTTTTCAAAAGCTAATTTTTACTGGTCAGCAATTCACCAATTTGAGCCATATATCAACTGTGGCTGAAAACACAAAGGGTAAGATCCATATAATATTGTGGCTCTCCATAGGAAGAGCTTCGACTTTGCATAAGGAGGGGTGAATAAGGCAGAAAAAAGTTGCAAAATGGAAACGGGTATGACCCATTGCCAGTTCAAATCCCTCCAATTGATTGCCCAAATAGTTGCAGCAGAGAGACAGTGCAAGAACAAAGGCTATATGTTTCTTCAGCCTCCAAACATAAGCAGCAATATTAGCGAGAGGAAAGCCTCTCCTTTGGAGATAATCAATTGTGTGGTTGCAATTGTGGATTGTAAGCCAGCCAAATGCATGGTCTCCTAGGGGGGCTATCCATACCTTTCTTAGTGGAAAACTCATTATAGGGGTGGCTGGGGGAGCTTTATAGAAGGAGAAAACAATGAAGGTTCGAGTATTGGGATGGGGTCATCCAAGTAACTTATCCGATGGATGTGCTTATGTCAAAATTTAATCAAACATTGTGGAGACTAGTAGGTTAGTGGTTTTGGAATTGTGAGGAGCCTAAAGATTGGCTTCCACACCAGGAGTTGTTGGAAGGATTCGAAATACTAACAACAGAAGCCAAAGGCAAGATTGAAATTAGGAAAAGATTTGGCCACCTCTCTGTAAGGTGGCAATCCACAATCCAGAGGTCCGTGTAGATGTTTCCACAGTTAACCTTGAACCTAATAGGAGACTGCAAAGATTATACAGAGGTAGAGATGCTTGTAATGATTCCCACAAACCAAGAAGTATCCCTTGTAAGGGAAATTCGGCGAATATTTGGGCCCAACAACCTTACACCAGAGACCATCAGGGTTGGTGGAATAATGCCACCACCACTTTCCAAGAACTGCGAGATTCACACATTCGAGGTTTCAAATACCTAAGCCAAGAAGGTGCTCAGGCATACAAACCTTTTCCCAAGCCACAAAATGAATCTTCTTGTGACTCCTGTATTCAGACCACAAGAATGCTTCCATGATCTTTTCCAGGGCGTGGGCGTTAACAAAATTGTGGGGCATCAAGAAGGGCAACATGTAGTAAATGGGGAGATTAAAGACCATAGCCTTGATGAGAGTGAAACAACCTCCTAGGACAAAAAATGAACCTCCCATATGACTAGCTTTCTATGGGAATTGTCAATGACAGTATCCCGCAGAGCCTTACTGGATATGCCTACACAAAGGGAAAGCCTATAGGGTGAATGTCAATAAGCTTGTCTAGAGGGATTCAGTAGCACAACCTTGTCTGGAGGCAATGAAAGAGGGTGAATGCCCATAAGCTTGGATTTTTTCCATATTGATAGGCATCATCATAGCAACTTCAAAGAACCTAAGGAACAGCCAAAGCATGTCAACTTTAGTTCAGGAGAGGCATTGGATAAAACAATTGTGCCATCTGAACATTGTTGGTCAGAGACAATGTACCCTCGACCATTTCAAGCCAGACAGGCGACCCCTGTTGTAAAGCATGGATATGACCTACTAAAAACTTCGGCCACAATCGCAAAGAGGAAGGGGTAGATGGGGTCATATTGGTGGAGCCCTTTGGAGGAGTGGAACTGGCCCTTGGGAAGCCATTAATAAGGGCCGAGAAGGCAATAGAGGATACACATCTATGGAGCCAACTCCTCCACCTCCGACCAAAGGCATGAGTCTCATGACCTGGTCAAGTATTGACATTGTAAGCCTTCTCCCAATCAAGCTTCAAGGTAAGGCCTAGTGCTTTGGAAAAGTGTTTAGATTGAATAACTTCACGGGCAACCAAGGCCCCATCAAGGATCTACTTTCATGACTTGTTCTTGGACGAGGCAGCAAAGCTATCCTTGATTTCTTTTCTCTTTTTTGTACTTTTCAGAGGAGAAAAGAGTGCATGTACAAGGTTTTGTGCATGATAGGAGAAATCAGTAAATGAAGCTGAAAATTTTTTGATATACAGAGCTAGCATGTGCCAACCATGCAAAAACCACTTTCCTACTAAGCAAGACAGAATTTGGTTTCATACACAACACGTCATGTCATCCATAAATAGAGTAAGGCACTATTTTATTAGAAAATAATTCAAAAACCTTGCTAATAAAGACAGCAGAGAGGGCATATGAGGAAGAGCTTGAAAAGAAACCTTAAGAATGCAATCGGCTGCCATTGTTGATCTTCTTTCATTGGTTCCAAACAGCTCTTCTGTATCAAAGAGCATGATTGCTCTTATCCAACGGGACATGAAAATCTGCCATGACTGAATCGCGAGCAATGCAAAAACAATATTCCTTGACAGATTCAGGGTTACTGTTATTTCCGTCACAACTCCCTCATATACATCTTGGAATTTCTGCAATTCCTTACCAAAGAGAAAAATAGCATGCGTCAATTTTGATGCACTTCTTACTTAAATATTTTGACGAGTGGATGATCTAACAAATCTGGATTTCAACATTAGCAGACTAGAAAAGTAAACTAGATTTTCATGTCAATTAAAAGAAAAGTAACCGAACCTTCTGCATCCCTCTGCCTTGGTGATATTTAGGTACAGGAAAGGCAAGGCAAAATAAAGCAGTGCCAGGGTAAATTCCAACCGCTGTATCTCTGTGTCCTGTAACTCATTCAGAAACCAATGGGAACAGGGAAAGGCAGATCAAAAAACGTTCACTGACAGCACAAAATCAGTTACAAAGATTAGAAAAATCAGAAGTACACACCCCTAGATGAAACAATCTAACTGGTAACAAACCCCCAAAACTTCATATACAATAGATACAGGGGACCAATTCACAAGTTTAACTATGAGAAAAAAAAACGAACTAAGAGCTTCATGCCCATTCAACGAAACACAAGCAAACATAAGAAGATACCTGAAATGTTTCATGACCTCATGGAACTGGCAAAATTGAGTTTCCCAAGAACATATAAGTTGTTTTAGAGGATTCACAACTGATTACACAACACACCAATGGAACTTGTGTCCAAAGTGATATATCAAAGAGGAAATTTTCAGTCACATGTAAGGGAAGTCTGTTCAAGCAATGGCCACAACTTTCATGGGATTCGCCATTAGGAAGGGCACATGCCCTATATGATTTGAAAATGCAACTTCGCTAGTTGCATGTGTAAGTTACAAGAAAAGACAACTTTGCTAGTTGCATGTGTAAGATACAAGAAAAGACAAGTCAAGGTTCAAGGTTCTCCTCATAAGGATTGCCTCGAATTATTGGCAGATGCCTACTTACATGCATATATTCATACATTGCGGTTAAACCCTGAGGAATCCTATGAGTTGGCTATGCACATGTTGAATTGAACTCTTTTACACAATAAGAAACTATGACTCGGAAGTCCCATGAAGGCTCACAGACCCTAATCAAGGACTCACAAAGTCCATGCATCTTTTTCCAGGGCTGGCAAAAAACTGAATGTCAATTACTTGGTTCTTGAACAAACCTTACCTCATCGGTCAATCCCCCATATGACAACCTTGCAATCCCCCAAAAATCAGAGCATTCTAAAAGGTGCCATCCTTAGGTGCTGACATAATATGATACAGATACCAATATCGGATACTCCTCAGATACTTCCAAATATGACAGATATAAATATATAAAAAGAATCGCACATACCTCACTTGTGGAACTCCAACTAAGTCTCCAGGACTCTAAGAAGTGCACACTAGCATGGACCCCGTGGCTCTTGGGCTCACAGATATGGGGAGCGACATCATGGCCGTCAAACGACGCGTGGTCAGTGTGGGAGCATGCGACCCCTACCGATGGGGAGGGTATTCGCGGGCCCCATGGTTCGAAACCCTTGCAAGAAGCCCCAAGACTTTGTGCAGGCATAACTTTTCGCTCTGATGTCGGCTCCCCCAAATGATTCTTCCCCTCTTCTAGAGGCCACTGGCATGGCATCTCACTATTCCTATTCGCCATCATCGCCAAAGTCTTCAATAGATTAATCTCTGGTAAGTACCGGAAACGCCTCCTTATAGGCTTCAAAATTGAATCCAATGGCCCTAAGATCACACATTTCCAATATGTTGATGCAACCGTCCTCTTCTGCGACGCCACAACCCAACAGGTCGACTCTCTGCTCCTTTCCTGAAATGCTTCAAAATGTCCAATTGATTTGAGTGAATATGGCCAAATCCAATATGATTGGAGTTTTAGTCGCAAGCCATGTTATGAATTGTATAGCGAATAGATGGGGTTGCAAAGTTAAAGACCTGCCATCATCCTATTTGGGCTTACCCGTGTGGATTGGCAGGCCCCATCAGCAGTAATGGAGCCATAACATCGATAATTTTGATCGAAGGCTCGCAGGATAGAAGGGAAGGTTCTTCTCGTTTGTGGATTGAATTACCCTTGTTAAGGGCCACCCTCTCCAATATCCCCATCTTCCATATATCCCTCTTCCACATGCCTTCCACAGTAGCTCTCTACCTCAAACAGCTCATGAAAAACTTTCTCTGGTCAGGCGAGGGAGGCAGAAAGTATCACCTAATCTCTCAGGCCAAAGTTTGTTCGCCTAAGTCCCGAGGGGACATGGGCATCCGCAACCTTAAATCTAACAACTTTGCCCTCCTGGGAAAATGGAGGTGGCGCTTCGCTACCCAAGATAAGCACCTGCAGCAAGAGGTCGTCCGGCACAAGTATTGCCGTGTGGATTTTTCTTGGCTTCCAAGTTGTAAGGCCAGCAGCATTCATCAGGTCCATGGGTATCTCTGCTCTGCAGCTACCCTTTCATAGCCAACATACGCTTCCGACCTTGGACTGGAAACATAATCGTTTTCTAGTCTGAATTTTGGATACCATTCCCCATTGAGGGACCAGTTCCACAACCTGTTCCTTTTAGCTAGAGACCTCCCAGGCGATTGTGACCGACCAATTCAGCATGCCCAGGGTATGGAATCCAAACTTCAAGAGGCCACTGGTGGACCACGAAAAGCCAGATTTCCTAACATCATCCTCCCTTCTTTAGTATCTTCCACCCACTCCAAGGCACTGATAAGATCATTTGGTCACTTGCTCCCTCAGGGGTCTTCTCAGTATCCTCCTTTTACCACACACTTCTACCCTTGTCGTCCTTGCCTGCCCCACCCCTCTATCACGGCCAAAAGCTTGGTCTCCCTTGTCCCTCCAAAAGTCCAACTCTTCAGCATGATAGCAATATCCGAGAGAGCCCTTACAATTGATCAGTTTCAAAGAAGGGGATTGCAAATTCCAAATAATGCACGATGTGAATACTGGAGGAAGAAACCAATGCACATCAATTTATCCACTGCAACCTCACAAGAACCCCTTAAGGCGATCTGTACAACTCTTCAACTGGTCGTAGGTGAGTCCGCCATCAAAACCCCACCTCTTTCGCTCTCTAATCCGCACCACGGTCAGAGTCAGAGATCCTCCCGCGGAGGGCATTCATGGCATCGACGTTGTCGGTCATTTGGATCAAAAGAAACAATAGGATATTTCACAGAGAGAAGACCACCATCGAGGTCTTGAAACACAGGGTCAAACCCTTAGTCATCTTTTGGGCAAAAGATGGCAATGCTGAATTTAAAGCCCATCTTCATTACTCGCGCCGCTCTCTAGAGACCACCAGAGCCCAGCCAATCCAAGCTCAACTTTGATGGCTGCTCCCTCCCCAACTCAGGCCCAAGCGGCATAGAGGGCATATTCAGAGACAAGGACAGCTGCACCCTCTTCTCATACTCATGTTTCATTGGATACACCAACTCCAATACGGTGGAGGCTTTAGCTCTCCTGAAAGGCCTTAGGAACTTCAACCCCAATTGAAGCCTAATGTTGATTTTCGAAGGACACTCAAAAAATGTATTGGCATGGGCCAAGAACCTCACCTTGCCCTTGGAGGCTGGACCATATTTTTTATCAGATTTTCCAAATTTACAGGCCTATTCACTTATTTAGGAGGCATACCTGGATGGTAGCCAATGCAGCAGCTGATGCCTTGCTAACGAGGAAGCCATACTAGCAAGAGCAACACACGCAGACACACAGGTGACCTTTTGAGCACCTTTTTGAGAACTTGATCCATTTTGTTCCATATACTGATTGTATTGAAATTTTTGGGCCCTTAGGGGAATTTAGTATAGGGCACTGGCCTGTGGGTTTCCTAATCTCTTATAATTTCTTTTATTCAATACAACTCCCAACATATTGAAAAAAAAATGTACAGAAGACTCCTTTGATACTGTCCTGTGATAAATTTACAAATTGACATCTATCACAAAAGTGACAAAACTATGTTACATAAACAGCAAGTAAGTATTAAGAACTTTTGAAAAACTTTAACATCATAAACAAAGTACCATTAGTGTCCACTAGATTCTGAATTTATTATCACCAATTCATAACTTAGTGTTACCTGAAGAAAAGAAAACTTGTGGGAGGACACTCAACAACTTTTCAACTTTTTTCACCAAAAGTTTCTTTTCCCTTCCGAAGCGTCTTCGATTTCTGCAAAAAAGGGATAGAAATAATCATCAATTGCAGCTCAATCACTTCCATAGGTTAATGACATACAAGTAGTTCAGTAAGGAATACAGACACATGTTCATAGGCCATGATCTTGATTTCCAGTTCTTCAATGGCCCTAAGTACTTGTGGATCAGATTCAGATAGAAGCCAATCCACTTTCTGGCTCAGAAAGTCAGGAATGGTTTGCTGAATATGCCCAACCTGAAAACAATTGGCAAGGCATTAGCAAGAGAGAGAGAGAGAGAGAGAGAGAGAGAGAGAAGAGGCATTATTTGAATTGCTGCTGAAAAGAGATAACCAACAAACAAAATAATAGAAATATTTAATTACTATTTTGTAGCGCAACTAGTGCAAGCAAACTATATAGCAGATTAAATTAGAATCAGCAACAAAAAGTACCTCATAATGGTTCAAGCTTTTAAATGCAGAGACCCGTGCCTTTACCCATCTATCTCCATAGCCTATATGCCTTGAGGTTGCAATTTCCACAAGAATTTGCAAAATGCTCTTTGAAGGTTCAGGATATGCCTCGACATCAGTTGCGGCCCATCTTAGAAGAATGCATAAGCTTCAACAATATTACAAGATTTAGGATAATTCTCTCTTTCAAATAGATTTGTAACAGCAATAAAGAATAGTACAATATTCTGAAAAAAAACTCGCAACACTGAACAACAATAAATAAGGCACTGCATGGCTGCACCAAAAATCCTGAAATTATATTTCGTAATGCATGATATTCGTGATTTTGACATTTTGGATATTGTGTTTGACAGCCCAAAGTCCTATCGTATAATTTCACGATATGTGCCCAAAAATTAGGATTTATTTGATAAGCTCGGGAAAAAAAATCACAATATTTAAAAGTGCAATAAAGGTACAGCTGACTTTCCTTTCTTTTTTAATCATGCATTATAATAATATTCTTCTGTTTTGACTGTCTAAGTATGTTACAATTTTCAATAGGATAGAAATATGTGATTGTTTAACTGACAATTTAGTAAATTATTTTTCATTAATTATTTTCTTATTTATAATTCTAGGAACAGATTTGATCATAACCAAGACCCCCAGCCTCCTCTCTCTCTCTCTCCTCTCTCTCTCTCACTCTACTATCATCAT